TCCATCCACCTGGAATGCTGTTCCCTCTACCTGGAACATTCCTCCCAGATATCCATGTACCTCACTCCTTCACTAACCTCAGACTCTTAACCAAAAAGCCTATCCCCACATACTATTTCTCCTCAGCAATTACTACCATCAACGTATGTCTGTGTTATTACTTGCTTATCATCTGCCTTCCCAATAACAGATTGTAAACTCCATGAAGGCAGGGAACTGTGTCTATCTTGTTCACTGCCATATGCTAAGACAAATGCCTGGCAAAATAGAACTTCAAAACTGTTTACAAACAGAAGGGATCAATGCATGGCCCCTCTTTGCTCGATGTTGCACAAATACCTCAGACCTGATCTGTTCACAACTGAAATCAGTGCCTCCCCCATAGAAACTCTCCCTTTGGTGAGCTCTGAGCATCCCCTTCAATTTCTTCTTCCAAATCCCTCAATCAATCACCACTTCCTACGAACCCCCTCCTAAGTGGTTCTTAAATGCATCTTCTTTTTGCCCTGCCTGTTCTCACTCATCAACTCTGCAATAACTACCTGCCTGGCCTTCCTGCCTCTAGAATTTCTGCTCTCACCCCTTCTGCAGTCTCTTCTGTAGAGCTACCATAGTGACTATTTTTGTTGTTTGATAATTAAACTAATTTGAAACATACATGCAGTTTGAATACCTTAATTTTTTGTTCGACTTTCCTTTTCTTCTTGTCACTTAAAACATTTCAAGTCTACCAAAAATTTGAAAGAATGAACTCTTATATATCCTACACCAGATTCACCAAGTGATAACATGTTGACATGTTCACTTTATTTCTTATTTCTCCCCCTTTTTAAGTTCTATAGGTCCTCTGTGCCGTGCATTCCACACAAGCTGAAGTGCTTGAAGGTTAGTTTCCAGCTCTCCATGTCCTACACACCCAAATCTGTTCTTTTCTCTGGACTTGCCTCTGGATTCACATGTGTCCTCTACCTGGAATGCCCTTTTCTCTCCTCTTTCCCAAGTAAATTGTTACTTGTGCTTAAAAATGCAATATAGGTGCTACCTCCTTCAGGAAGCCTTACCTGAGTGCCCTGCCTGGGTGCTCCCCTGATCTCCATTCTTGCCTCTACCCCTGCTCTCAGAATACTGTGTCCTCATGGGATGGGTGTGCCCATCTCCTCCACAAGACCATGAGATAGATGATTGAGGACAGGGACTGTGCCTAGTGCACCTGTGGTATGTCAAATGTGTGTGGAATGAATGGGTGAGAAATGGGAGGAAAAAGGAAGGGAAAGAGGCTCTTGTTCTGTTCTCCAGTCCCAGGAAGAAAAGGATCAGCAAACCTTCACTAAGGAAGAAAACCAGAAGGGACTGTTGATGGTCTCATCCCAGAAATAAAAACAGAGTCTGGTCTCATTGATCTTTCTCTTATCATCACAATGAGGAGCCCTAGAGCCATGTCCCATGTACCTTTGTAAGCTTTCCTAGGCTGAGTGACTTCCATGTTGTGGTTTCCCTATAGTAATGAATAGCCAAACCTTTAGCATTAAAGAGCCTGTAGGTTTGTCTTCAAGACAACAAGAAAGATGGCAGTGGGGAGTCATCTGAAAGCCAGTGTGGGATGAGGAATTCATTAGACAAGGCACATGGTGCCAGCTTCAAAGAAGAGAGAATAGAAAGCTGAGATCCTAGGGCCTGTGACTAGGAAGAAAAGGAGAACTTAGGGAACTGGTCTAGACCTGAAAACTATCCATTAAGTTCAGAAACAGGCCCCCTGAGACCTGGCATGGGGAGCTGTTTTAACAGATGCCAATGAGTTTAGGCCTGTGCCCAAGTCTGGAAAGAATGTTTCAAGACCTGGAAGTGGCTACATTAGCTCTGCCTTGGAAGAGAAGGCAAAAGTGGGAAGGACTCCAGAAAAATATTTCCAAAATCAGAGCCCCTAAGTTTTATTTTACACGCCAACTATATTCAGTTGGTAGGTGCTTCCAGGATTGCTAAATAGAGAAGGAATCTAAAGCTATTACCAGACTCAATAGGAAGACAAAAAGCACTGTGATCGATGAATCATATCTGCCAGGCGTTTAGGTAAGGAGGTACAGAAAAGTACCTGGAAAAGAATGGCAATAGGAATCAAAGGGAAGATACAAAAGAAGGCTCCTAAAAGATATTGTTGAATGACTTAAACCTCGCAGGGATGTACCTGAGTGGAAACATGGGCTTTGTCATGAGACAGAGCTGACTTAGAATCCTGGTTCTGCCCCATTTCTTAGCTGCATAATCTTCGTCACCTTACAAAACCCAATCTGTAAAATGGGATTGTTCTTCAGATGAAATCATATAACCTACAGTAATAATAGATAATACTTACTTTGCAGCTTCTATGTGCCAGGCATTGTTTTAAGACCTTTACATATAATAATTAATCTGATTATCGTATAACAAACCTAGAAGGTTATTATTGCCAATTTACTGATAAGGAAACTTAAAATCAGGATGGTTAAGGGACCTGCCAAGGGTGACCCAAACAACAAGTGGCAGAGATTCATACCCAGGCAGTCTGCCAAATTCACATTCTTAACCACCTTAATAGATGCCACAGCCAACCACTTTCCACCGCTGATTGTTACCATTATGTGTCACACAACTGACATAAGCTCTGTGATTTAACTTAATTCCAGAAGACTCTCACCCTGAACTTCCCACATGCATAAAACACATTTAATAGGGCACTTTGTCTTAAACCATGCAGGCTACAGGGCCACCAACAGGCCAAGAGCATGGGCTCCCCTGAAGAAAAGAGAAAGAAGGACAAGGTCAGGAATTTGGTCTTTAACAAAACAAATCTGGCCTTCTTACCTTTTTGCTATTGCATGAAAAGTCTACTCAAAATCCACTAAAATATACAGGACAGGGAAGCCAGATGAGGGAGTCTTCAGTTTGGGGAGCACTAGCTTGCTTTTGCCTGAGTTGGAATGAAGCATTTTTTTCACAAAATGCCATTAGACTAGGTGTCAACTAACTCTGGTACTCGGGCCAAATCCTATCCACCACTGGTTTTTACAAATAAAATTGTACTGAAACATAACCAGGCTTATTCTTTGATGTTTTGTCCATGGCTATGTTGAGTAGTTGTAATGTAGACCATATGGTCTGCAAAGCCACCTCTCTGGCCCTTTGCAGAAAAAGTGTACTGATCCCAGCTGTCCACTATGGGCCAGATTTTCCATATTTCCATATGGCACGTGTGATCGATCATATGTCCTTAACTAAACGAGGAAGAAAAAGATGTTCCCGGGTGTTCACCAGGGGAGGTATGAAGTAGAATGTCCATAAGAGAAACCAAAATGAAAACAAATGTGGCCAGAATCGGATACTGCCTAGTGTGCTCTGAAAAATGTTCATCAATGTTAAATGATAAAATGGTTCAGGGGTTAACCTTAAGCAGATTTCTCTACTGCAGGACTTCTCAGGACCTTTAATTTGTCATTAGGCCTTGAGATTTCTGAGAAGGTGATATAGTTTACAGAGCGTATTTTTCCAACAGGATTATGTTCTTTAGAACATTTTTTGGCAAATGCTGGAACAAAAGACGTATTCAGAATCATGCTCCCTCAGAACTAGAAGTGAAAACTATGAGGGCTGTGGCTTAATAAGCATGTTTTTCCCTCAGCAAGAAAAGGGGGAGAGCAAAGAAGAAATAAAGGAAGCCGGAGTGGAAAAAAAAGGGTGGAGGAGGGGTGTTTGAAGGGAGAAAGGAAGAAAGCAGGGCCCTAGAGAGACAACACATGAGGAAATGAACATTTGGGTGACCTGACTATCAGAGGGAACAATGTGCCAAAAGCAGGGCAGTGCCCAAGTCAGGATGCATGCTCACGGTTCATCATCACCGTCATCAGCAGCAGCACCGCCAGACATGCCAAACTCACTACCCTGCAGATCCTGTGTTAGGTCCTTTACACATATGATGTCACTCAATTCCCATTTTACAGATGAGGAAATAGAGGCACAGATAAGTTAAAGCTTATACAGCTTGTAAGTGGCAGTGCAGATTTAGCTCTGTGAGTCTGTCCCCAAAGTCCACATTCTCACCCTGCACTGCCCTGCTCTCTACTAACTGCCTTGGATGGAGGACTGGAATTGCATTACGCAACCCGGAAATGATACTCTGCAGAAATGAAACACCAAGACATTTGGAGGAAAAAATAAAACCAGCCAACCAATGTCACGTTGGATATTTGGCTGCACAGGGCCCAACAGCTAGAGGATTGAGTTCTTTTCCACAGCACATGTGTTCAGATAGATTCATGTATAAATATCATCACAAATTTCTTCCTCTGTGTCTTTTTACTCTTGTGTTAACTATACCTTCTTATGTCATAAGTAATGTTTCAGGCTATACACCAGGCTTATCCAATGAATTACATTAGCTCAGAAAGTGAGCATAATCAGACATAACTTTGAATGTTACGCTTTAAAAATGTTTTTAAAAAAGCATTTTCAACTCAAACACTGTGACTACTATATTTACAATAAGCCTCTTCTAAGTTTCTACGATTGCCAGTTTTTTTGGGGGGGGAGGGGATTGGAACAGCTTCCTAGGACAGATTCCAAAAACATGAATCACATCTCAGTTAAACCTTCTGTAGCTCAGAAACATACCTGCATTAAAATGCTAGCATTATCCCCCTCCTAGCTAACTGCTGATTTCTGAGCTTAAAAACTGAAAATAGTAAATCACACTATTTGGTAGGGGGTCAGGGGCAGATAAACCCAGGTCTGTTAAAGCAGTCCAGGATGTGATAAACTTGTACATTGAGTCTCTTGAATTTGCTGACGGCAGAAAAAAAAAGTTCCATTTGGCATGCTACAAACATAGGCTGGGGGGACTCCTGAAGCAGAGATTGTGTGCGACAGCCTACTTCTAATTTACTTTTTGAGACTATAGCAAAATAAAGGAGTGCTGCAGGAGGGCCACAGTAAGATGGAAAGGCTGCCACCGATCGTAAATTTCTGTTTACCTGGTGAACGGTGAAGGCAGGATTTGGGCTCCTTCGTCCAGAAGAGCTGCAAGGCAAAGCTTTCGAATCGTGGCTGGCCCCGGGATCTGCGCTTCCCGCTGCTGCTGCTTCAGCTGCTCCTAAGATCCCATCGGAAACCCCAAAGGGCTGGAGAGCCCCAAGGCCAATGTTACGTTTTCAAGTTTGTATTCTTCCCCCACCCCACCCCTTTTGTTTGCGTTGACTTTGGAGCGGTTCGAGGTTTCTTCCACCCCTGCGCCCAGCAGCTGGGAATCCTGGCGTTGCGCTGGCGGAGGGAGGCGGCCCCGAAACCACTTCCAGATGTGCTTGGCAGGCCGACTTAGATGCCAGACTTCCTCTCGCATCCTGCTCCAGCAGTCTGCATGCAAATCACTTAGAAAACAGGGCTGCTCTGGAGGAAAAGATTCAAAACAGGAGAAAAGCAAATGGTTAGACGGTGAATTTCTACCAAGAGGTAAACTTTGAAAGAGCATACGTGAAAAATTTAAGTTCTGTCTGACTTTAAGAGTATCTTCACTGCCACTAGCTTCTCCTAGTCGTTAAAATGCTATCGTCCCCAAATCAAAGCCCAAAATAACAATTACTGTCTCATTCTACCAAAGCAAAGATAGTGACGGAAGTTTCAAAATGGTGTTTTGAGCCTGAACATGGAAAGGAATCAGGCAGGGAATCAACCCCACCCAGCTCTGTGCTGTTCTGTGTTTCTGCCATTAATTCTCAGAAACCCAGGAAATGGTGTCAGCCCTTTGCCTGGGATCATGGAATTTATTTCTGCGCTGGCCTTCCTCTCTAGTACCTGTAAGGGAATGAGGATCCCTCTGGCTCACTCCTCACTTCTAAGGTGTATGGCCCAATAGAAATAACTGCAAACTACATTGTAATTTTGAATTTTCTAGTAGTCACTTTAAGAAAAGTACAAAGAAGTAAAATTGATTTTAATGAAATATTTTATTTAACCCAATCTGTGCAAAATAATATTTCAACACGTACTAATACAAAACATTATTAACAAGACATTTTACATTTTTTTGGCATTAAGTCTGAAATCTGATGTGTATTATACACCTGTAGCACATCTGAATTCAAACACTAAGTTTCATTAGAAATAATTGATATGTATTTAAATTGCATAAAATCAACAGTTTAAAAAGTAAATCCATATACTTAGGTTGTCCCAAACATAAACATTTTCCAATAACTGAATCAAGTATCAGATTTTCTGTTTAAATTCATTAAACAAAGTAAAAGTTAAAAGTCAAGTACTTAGCTGTACAAGTCACATTTTAAGTACTCAACAGCCGACATGGCTAGTGGCTACTGTATTGAACAGTACAGAGCTAAAGGATTTAGTGGGTTTTTTCATACTTGAACTTGGAGAGTTGGAGTAGCATGAATAGCTTCCATTTGAACAGCAACAAAGCCTTTTCCCATCTTCTATTTTGTTTTATTCTCACAACATTCCTGTTTGGTAAATCGAGGAGATGTTGTTAGCTCCAGTTTCCATATTAGCAAACTGAAGTTTTGAGCATATTTAAGTCCAAGTTCTCAAAGCGAGTTAGTGATGAAGCCAGGACTGGAATTGCTGTAAAATGCATCTCAACTGTTTCTTACTTGAGGCATGTTTCAAATACTAGGGTTTCTAGCTGCGACTCTAGGGCTATTTTACATAGGTAGTTAGTGCATTCTTCACTTAACACCCATCAGCATCAAGTCACTGTTTGTGAAGAATTATCGGCTGCCCTGGTGGCATTTCCTTATATACTCCTATGCAAAAGCTCTCACACAATCCAGCAAGTGTGTCATTTTTCTTTGGAGCAGGCTTGATGTTATGTTATTTCCTCTTTTGCTTTTATTCCTAGCAAGAGGTACTCTCTTTTAAACCATAGTTTTAACTCAGTGATTTAGCTAACAGACAGGGTTGCAAGACATTTATTTTTAGTTGCTACAAAGATACATTTTATACATTGATCACCTGGGAAAGTCACAAGGTTCAGTGGTGGCACAGGTATGCTGAAAATACTGTTTCAGTCCTTACTGCATCCACATGAGCGAAAACATCAACATTTCCTGGCTCAGAGCTTGCCACTACCCTTCCAGAATTATGTGCTGTCAGGAGCAGCAGGATATTCCCTTAGACATGTCCCAAGGCATCGTGGTGGGGAGAACTCCAAGCTGACTCCTGCCCACTCCAGTTTCCTCCAAAGACTGGGTTTTCTCAGTGTTCAAATGCCTGATTCAGTGTAAGAGCTGGTGACTATAGGTTCAGAGTATGACAACCAAATGCTCCTGAGGGGGCTCAGAATTGAAATAATTACATTTTTCCCCACAGATTTTGCTTGTTATTATTCATATTAACTTCCATATGGACCCAAATCTCTCTTTGCATACTCTCTTTCTGACCCCCTACTATCTCCAAATCCAGCTTCTTTCTCCTTTAGTTATGCTGAGTAATGTTCTGAGGATACAAGAGGCTTATTATCTATGATGTAGATTTTCACACTGTATGCACAGATTCTTTCCTGGGGAGGAACTGAGGAGAAGAGAAAGAGACACAGGATAGAAGGGACACACTTATTAAGTGCACTACCAGCCTGGGCTCTGGAGACAGACAGACAGACCTAGCACTAGCTCAGACATTACACTTACACGTTACTCAAAACCTCACCCTCAGTTTCCACATCTATAAAGTTGGGAAGCCTCAGGACTCTCCTGAGGGTTGTAAGACATCACTCATACAAAGTACTCAGTAAGGACTCAATACGTAGAAGTTACTATTATTATTACATGAAGACACCCTAAGGTATGAACTACGGAAAGGAACTCTAACAGTAAGTTATTTCTAACTTTCTTTATAAAGTCCAAATGAGATATGACAGTTGCAAACACTGCTGGTAGCCTACTTAATAACCATCTGTGCTTCTTCCCTTCAAATAGAAACAAATGTTGCTTCTTTGAGGCAACAATTGCTAGTTAAAAATACCTCCTCAGATGTCCTGCAGCTAGAGTGGCATGTGAGCAGAAGCCTGCTGGCTGTGACTTCCTAGAAAGCTGTTGTTTTCCTGGCAAAGAGCTGTTTGGTGCCCCTTTCTTCCTGCCTGAAACCAAGCATCCGTGGCTGGAAGGAGAGAAGCCATCGCACAGCTCTGAGGCTCAACGGCCCAGGCTAAGCTGCCACAAGGGGTCACACGGAGACAGCGGTGTTGCGTCAGGCAGGGTCCTGCAAGGCACAGATGATCCACTCTGATGGGCTGATAGTGGGACCGAAGAAAAGGCACTGTTTGAAAAGGTATAGTCCGCATTAGGGAAGCATGGTGAAGAGGTGGTGGGGTGGCCTGGGGTTAGCCATTGCAGGGAGCCATTACCACGCCTAGCCCTGAAGGCAGAGGAAGCGAGTGGTTACCAACTGGGAGAGGGTAGCTGTTAGGAGAGGGCTGCCCGAAAGGAACACCCTGTTTTGGCCCACATGAAAGGGACTAGGGAGCGAATTATTCTAACCTTACAATCTCTGTTTGGCCTCCCACTGGCCAAATTCAACTGGAAGTCAGAGGGCAGGGGGACTCAATTGATGTAATGCATTTAGGCCAGCCTCTCAGGGCACCCAAGGTGAAGAAGAGTGGAGAGAAGATCTGTAGAAGCAAATGGAAAGTATCCTTGTACAATGTGGCTGGGATCTCTTGGCGTTGTGTGATTCAGTAGCCCTGCACATTTGGAGGGTAGAGCCAGAACAGAGGAGGAGACTGTCTCCCTGATGGCACTGGGAGTTGCCATAGTAGCCCTGAACTACTTATGGAACATATAAGTATATGAGAAGTATAGGAGGAAAAGAAACCCTTATGTGAATAAGTCACTTTGGTCAGGTCTCAGTTAAATGCCTGAATGCAGTCTTATGTGATCTATACGCACCTCAAATTGCAGTACTATTAGTCAACACAATGTACAGCTGAGTCATTATTATTCCATGTTTAGTTCTTATTAGTTGAAAGCCAAATGTTAGTCCTATCTTCTTACCCCATGGGTCTGCCCTGGCTGAGTGTATGCTTTGTAGTAAGGTCCTATATAAAGTCTGTGAAGGGTGATAAAGCAATGGGAAGGAAACGAGGAGGCGTGCTGTAGTAACAGTGGATGGCTGCACTGGCTCAGGCTAACAAGCCTCTACCCATTACCTCTGTCTCCCAGCGCCGGGCTCCAAAGATCACCCTCGTGGAGCAGGAAGTACAGCTACAGAAGCCCCAGTTTGTTTCTTTTGCCTGGTGGGACTCAACAATGGGTCATCTCCTTACCTGAGCTTAGGTGCTCCCGACTCCTCCCTGCTACCCCCTGAGCTGCAGCAATTGCTCCTGCATCTGATGCTTTGCACCTGGGGTCCCTCTCACCCACACAAGAGGACTGGTTTTCTTCCTTGGCTCTTGCTCCACTTCCCTGTTCGGTGACCAGGGTAAGCTACCTGGCTTGGAGACCTGCTGTGCTCTTGGCAGCTGACCTCTCCATGCTGGGGCCACAGCTCTAGCCAAGACCCATGGCTGGAGCCCTGCCGTCTGTGCACAGGCCTCTCAGACACCATCTGCTTCCTTCATCTCAGAACAGTGTCTGCCCAGGCTTTCTGCTCTTGAGTTCTGGCTACCTGCTGGTGCTCCCCAAATCTCCTTCTCTGCCAATAAGCCCTTGGCCTGAGTCTTCAACTGAAATTAAGGTATCCCTTGGACATGGCAATTTACACTCTTGGCTGAAAACACAGCATTGTCTGCAGCTCCCCCCTCACACTCCCCACAACCCACCCTCCCCCTGCCCCCACCAGTACCAGTCACTCCCTCTTGGACTAAATCCTCAGTGGCCTATGGCTCAGGAGGAGTAGAAACAGTAGTAATAGAATGAAAATAATAGTGATGATAGAAGTAAAACAATCTACCACTTACTAAATGCATTGTGTAAGTCCTTGCTTTGCATGGCACCAGCACAAATTTCAGTTACTACCATTTACTTTAATAACATCAGTCCCCCAACAACATATTTCAAACCTGCTGCGCAGTATATTAACTGCAATTGCTAACGGGCAAGCATTGCTGCTAGCTTTTCAGTCCATAAAATCACTATGCAAATAACAGATCCACATCATGATCAGTGACCAGTCAAGTTTCTTCTTCGACATTCTGTCAGTAATTGGTCACCGGACATCTGTTATTCAGTTTATCTACAGAGACCAAAGCATGGAAGTGTGTCACTGCCTTAATCCCCATGATAAACTCATGTCACAGAAATGGGTAAGAGATTTAGCCAACAGAGTTAAAACTGAAGCAAAGAAACACAAAGTGATAATGGTGGGAGCAAGGTTGAAATCATAGGTAAACGGAGGTAGAGAAGAACCAGCTGCCATGGGAGGACACTGTCAC